TCAACCGAGAAGATGGATTCAGGCTTAGTAACCACTGGAAAGATGTGTTAAATCATTTCTGTTCTTAATTAATTGTAATTTTACGATGACCTTCAGACCGCAGCTCTTTCGCCAGCATTGCCTCTTAATACCTCTCACACCACGGTTAATGGTATGGTTTACAACATGAAGTATACTAGGGCTTCGCAGCTGTCTCTCTCCCCCTCCTCTGTTCCGACCATGGACGAACTCGTCCGTCTGAACGGGGCCCGTAGCTATCCGTGGTACGGAAATTTGAGGGTAAGAATCCACCCATTTTTTCGCCATATAGCATTGTGATATATAACGACTTATGGTTGGTAGCTTAGCTGATTGGAGAATATAGAGTTTATTGATAACATGAAGGTAATTTATATTTTAGTTTTTATTGGTTCACTATATAGTACTGTGAATAGCTCAGATGTGTAGTCATTTCTGTGACCAGTCACTAGCAAATCACCCAGTTATTTCAATGCTAAATTCGCCTAGTTATTTCAATGCTAAATTCTCCTGTTTGATTTGTACTAAGTGCCTCGGTGAATGTGTATGCTCTGACTTCAACGTAACTATTTCTGTAGCAGTTACAAGCGAATCACTCAGCCATTTCAATGCTAAATTCTATGCTAATCCCATTGTCAAGGGGTGCCTCTGCGGATGTGTATGCCTTAACTTAGCTATTTCAATGCTAAATTCTATGCTAATTCCTTTTAACAATGGGTGCCTCTGCGGATGTGTATGCTTTAACTTTTAACATAGCTATTTCTGTGACCAGTCACAAGCTAATCATTCAGCCATTTCAATGCTAAATTTTATGCTAATTACTTCGTCAAGGCTCTTTGTTCCTCTCACACAGCTTAAAAGCCGTGATCTGAACGTGGCTCTCTCACTCCAGCGCTGTCCTACCAGACAGTCTCGCCCCCTTCACCTGATGAAGGCCGCTTGTGTTGTGGCCGAAACGTCGTGAGAATATTATTGTGTTATTTTATTTTATCAATTTATTATTTTATTCTCATTCTACGTGACTTTACCGAAAGAACCAAAGAAGATGAATCATTGCAGTCACGAAAGCTTTAAATCGAAATTTATGGTTTTGTCTGTTTGTGTTCGAGCACCTGGCTTTGTCTGTTTGTGTTCTGAGCACCAGGCTTTGTCTTTTTGTGTTCTGAGCATCTGGCTTTGTCGGTGTGTGTTCTGAGAACCTGGCTTTGTCTGTGTGTGTTCTCAGCCCCTGGCTTTGTCTGTGTGTGTTCTGAGCACCTGGTTTTGTCTGTTTGTGTTCTGAGCACCTGGCTTTGTCTGTGTGTGTTCTGAGCACCTTGCTTTGTCTGTTTGAGTTCTGAGCACATGACTTTGTCTGTGTGTGTTCTGAGAACCTGGCTTTGTCTGTTTGTTTTCAGAGCTCCTGCTTTTGTCTTTGTGTGTTCGGGCACCTGGCTTTGTCTGTGTGTATTCTGAACGCCGGGCTTTGTCTGCGTGTGTTCTGAGCACCTGGCTTTGTCTCTGTGTGGTCTGAGCACCTGGCTTTGTCTGTTTGTGTTCTTAGCACCTGCCTTTGTCTGTTTGTGTTCTGAGCACCTGGCTTTGTCTGTGTGTTTTGAGCACCCGGCTTTGTATGTGTGTGTTCTGAGCACCTGGATTTGTCTGTTTGTGTTATGAGTGCCTTGCTTTGTCTGTTTGCGTTCTGAGTACCTGGCTTTGTCTGTTTGGGTTCTGGGGCACCTGGCTTTATCTGTTTGTGTTCTGAGCACCTGGCTTTGTCTCTGTGTGTTCGGACCACCTGGTTCTGTCTGTTTGTGTTCTAATCACGTGGCTTTTTCAGTGTGTCTTCTGAGCACTTGTCTTTGTCTGTTTGTGTTCTAAGTACCTGGCTTTTTCTGTTAGTGTTTTGAGCACCTGGCTTTGTCTGTTTGTGTTCTGAGCACCTGGCTTTGTCTCTGTGTGTTCTGAGCACCTGGCTTTGTCTGTGTGTGTTCTGAGCACCTGGCTTTGTCTGTTTGTGTTCTGATCACCTGGCTTTGTCTGTGTGTGTTCTGAGCACCTGGCTTTTTCTGTCTATGTTCTGAGCACCTGGCTTTGTCTGTGTGTGTTCTGAGCACCTGGCTTTATCTCTGTGTGTTGTATGCGCCTGGCTTTGTCTGTGTGTGTTCTGAGCACCTGGCTTTGTTTCTGTGTGGTCTTAGCACCTGGCTTTGTCTGTGTGTGTTCTGAGCACCGGGCTTTGTCTGTGTGTGTACTGAGCATCTTTAATTGTCTGTGTATGTTCTGAGCACCTGGCTTTGTCTGTGTGTGTTCTGAGCACGTGGTTTTGTCTGTTTGTATTCGAGCACCTCGCTTTGTCTGTGTGTGTTCTGCGCATCTGGCTTTGTCTGTTTGGGTTCTGAGCACCTTGCTTTGTCTGTGTGTGTTTTGAGCACCTGGCTTTGTCTGTGTGTATTCTGAACGCCGGGCTTTATCTGTGTGTGTTCTGAGCACGTGGCTTTGTCTCTGTGTGGTCTGAGCACCTGGCTTTTGTCTGTGTGTGTTCTTAGCACCTGGCTTTGTCTGTGTGTGTTCTGAGCACCGGGCGTTGTCGTTGTGTGTACTGAGCACCTTTATTTGTCTGTGTAGGTTCTGAGCACCTGGCTTTGTCTGTGTGTGTGTTCTGAGAACATGGTTTTGTCTGTTTGTGTTCGAGCACCTGGCTTTGTCTGTTTGTGTTCTGAGCACCAGGCTTTGTCTTTTTGTGTTCTGAGCACTTGGCTTTGTCTGTGTGTGTTCTGGCACCTGGCTTTGTCTGTGTGTGTTTTGAATGCCGGGCTTTGTGTGTGTTCTGAGCACCTGGCTTTGTCTGTGTGTGTTCTGAGCACCTGGCTTTGTCTGTGTGTGTTCTGGCACCTGGCTTTGTCTGTGTGTGTTCTGAGCACCGAGCTTCGTCTGTGTGTGTTCTGAGCACCTGTCTTTGTCTGTGTGTGTTCTGAGCACCTGGCTTTGTCTGCGTGTGCTCTGGCACCTGGCTTTGTCTGTGTGTGTTCTGAGCACCTGGCTTTGTCTGTGTGTGTTCTGAGCACCTGGCTTTGTCTGTGTGTGTTCTGAGCACCTGGCTTTGTCTGTGTGTGTTCTGAGCACCTGGCTTTGTCTGTTTGTGTTCTTATCACCTGGCTTTGTCTGTTTGTGGTCTGAGCACCTGGCTTTGTCTGTGTGTGTTGCGAGAACTTGGCTTTGTCTGTGTGTGTTCTGAGCACCTGGCTTTGTCTGTTTGTGTTCTGAGTACCTGGCTTTGTCTGTGTGTGTTCTGAGCACCTGGCTTTGTCTGTGTGTGTTCTGAGCACCTGGCTTTGTCTGTGTGTGTTCTGAGCACCTGGCTTTGTCTGTGTGTTCAGAGCACCTGGCTTTGTCTGTGTGTGTTCTGAGCACCTGGCTTGTCTGTGTGTTCAGAGCACCTGGCTTTGTCTGTGTGTGTTCAGAGCACCTGGCTTTGTCTGTGTGTGTTCTGAGCACCTGGCTTTGTCTGTGTGTGTTCTGAGCACCTGGCTTTGTCTGTGTGTTCTGAGCACCTGGCTTTGTCTGTGTGTGTTCTGAGCACCTGGCTTTGTCTGTATGTTCTGAGCACCTGGCTTTGTCTGTGTGTGTTCTGAGCACCTGGCTTTGTCTGTGTGTGTTCTGAGCACCTGGCTTTGTCTGTGTGTGTTCTGAGCACCTGGCTTTGTCTGTGTGTGTTCTGAGCACCTGGCTTTGTCTGTGTGTGTTCTGAGCACCTGGCTTTGTCTGTGTGTGTTCTGAGCACCTGGCTTTGTCTGTGTGTGTTCTGGCACCTGGCTTTGTCTGTGTGTGTTCTGAGCACCTGGCTTTGTCTGTGTGTGTTCTGAGCACCTGGCTTTGTCTGTGTGTGTTCTGAGCACCTGGCTTTGTCTGTGTGTTCTGAGCACCTGGCTTTGTCTGTGTGTGTTCTGAGCACCTGGCTTTGTCTGTGTGTTCTGAGCACCTGGCTTTGTCTGTGTGTTCTGAGTACCTGGCTTTGTCTGTGTGTTCTGAGCACCTGGCTTTGTCTGTGTGTGTTCTGAGCACCTGGCTTTGTCTGTGTGTGTTCTGAGCACCTGGCTTTGTCTGTGTGTGTTCTGAGCACCTGGCTTTGTCTGTGTGTTCTGAGCACCTGGCTTTGTCTGTGTGTGTTCTGAGCACCTGGCTTTGTTTGTGTGTTCTGAGCACCTGGATTTGTCTGTGTGTTCTGAGTACCTGGCTTTGTCTGTGTGTTCTGAGCACCTGGCTTTGTCTGTGTGTTCTGAGCACCTGGCTTTGTCTGTGTGTGGGGGTTGGATGTGGCCGTAGCTCAGCTCGATCGTCACCCCCCACTCTCCCCCCTCCCCCTCACTCCCCCCTCCCTCTCCTCGGGGTCACGTGGGGGGGCCGTCTCGTCGCTGACACCGTCCCGGGGTGTCATGGACGCCTCCGGGCTCTTAGCGGACGAGTGGAATTACCTGGGCGAGGGAAACCGGAATCTGGTCGTCGCTCACCGCGAGGTGCAAACCCCGCGCCGCTCACCCCTCCCACCTCCCTTGACTACGCCGGCGCCTTCCCCGTTCGCCTCGGCTGCTCCCTCGCGCGTGTGCCTCGATGTCTCGCTCTCCTACCCCCTTTGTCGGCTAGTTGCCCTCCCTGACTAGGCGCGCCTCGTCCGGTAGGGCGAGCGCTGGCGTACCGGTAGGCCTCGTCATGATCGGAAGTTTCTCTCCACACCCCCTTCCTCACCCACCGTGATTGAATTCACGGCAGCGATGAAACCGCTAAGGAGATCGTGAACGGAGTGGGGGGTACGGTGAGGTGGCGTCTGTGGGACTCGGGGTGGCGTCTCTGGGACTCGGGGTGGTGTCTCTGGGACTCGGGGTGGCGTCTCTGTAACTCGGGGTGGTGTCTGTAGGACTCGGGGTGGCGTCTCTGGGACTCGGGGTGCTGTCTGTGGGACTCGGGTTGCGTCTGTAGGACTCGGGGTGGTGTCTCTGGGACTCGGGGTGGTGTCTCTGGGACTCGGGGTGGTGTCTCTGGGACTCGGGGTGGCGTCTCTGGGACTCGGGGTGGCGTCTCTGGGACTCGGGGTGGCGTCTGTGGGACTCGGGGTGGCGTCTGTGGGACTCGGGGTGGCGTCTCTGGGACTCGGGGTGGCGTCTCTGTGACTCGGGGTGGTGTCTGTGGGACTCGGGGTGGTGTCTGTGGGACTCGGGGTGGTGTCTGTGGGACTCGGGGTGGTGTCTCTGGGACTCGGGGTGGTGTCTCTGGGACTCGGGGTGGCGTCTGTGGGACTCGGGGTGGCGTCTGTGGGACTCGGGGTGGCGTCTGTGGGAGTCGGGGTGGCGTCTCTGGGACTCGGGGTGGCGTCTCTGGGACTCGGGGTGGCGTCTCTGGGACTCGGGGTGGCGTCTCTGGGACTCGGGGTGGCGTCTGTGGGACTCGGGGTGGCGTCTCTGGGACTCGGGGTGGTGTCTCTGGGACTCGGGGTGGCGTCTGTGGGACTCGGGGTGGCGTCTGTGGGACTCGGGGTGGCGTCTGTGGGAGTCGGGGTGGTGTCTCTGGGACTCGGGGTGGCGTCTCTGGGACTCGGGGTGGCGTCTCTGGGACTCGGGGTGGCGTCTCTGGGACTCGGGGTGGCGTCTGTGGGACTCGGGGTGGTGTCTCTGGGACTCGGGGTGGCGTCTCTGGGACTCGGGGTGGCGTCTCTGGGACTCGGGGTGGTGTCTGTGGGACTCGGGGTGGCTTCTCTGGGACTCGGGGTGGTGTCTGTGGGACTCTGGGTGGCGTCTCTGGGACTCGGGGTGGCGTCTCTGGGACTCGGGGTGGTGTCTGTGGGACTCGGGGTGGAGTCTCTGGGACTTGGGATGGTGTCTCTGGGACTCGGGGTGGCGTCTGTGGGACTCGGGGTGGTGTCTGTGGGAGTCGGGGTGGTGGCTGTGACATTTATCACAGCCAAATACTCCAAACGCGTGATGGTCATTCTAAATGTGGAGAGGAAAACCGGAGGACCCGGAGAAAAATCCACGCGACTACGGGGAGAGAGACATGCAAACTCCAAATATACAGCAGGCGTCAGGGTCAGGATCGAACCCACGACCTCCTGTATAACAGGCGAAGTAGTTAACATCTCCTAGCCACCGCAGCGCCTAGTATGCTGTCAACGTCATTGTCAGCCATGGTTAATCCACTGCTGGATGAACTCCTTCTCGTGCCGTCGCCGTCTTCTCGCGGGCGCGATTCCTCTGTTGGCTGCCACTCCGTGCTTGGTCTCGCCCACGGCTCTCTCCTCCTCGCGACGCGCCCTCCGATGAGCACGGTTGGATCACATACGGTGCGAATGAAGTCCAACAGACTTGTACACACGCACGTCCTGCCCATGCCCTCATCCCCCCCCACAACTCTACATTTTCTTGGCGGTCAATTCGATGCCTCCAAACTCGCGCCTTGTTCTCCCGGTCCCTCGGTGTACCCCAGTGGAGTTTTCTAGCGGGGTATTTATTCACGCGTTTCTCTACAATCGTCAGATTTTTGTATTTTGCTTCACTTTGCCGCTGTCCACGTGTCTGTAAGCGATCGCTTTAGTGCATCGTTTACACCACGAGTTGTTTATACCACGCATCGTTTACACCACGTTTATTTATGGGTCCTGTGGGTTTTTGTATTATTCCTCACGATAATACCATTGTGTTTTCGGCCGTATCTGCATTACAATTAATATGGCAGATTTAAATGAGTCTCTCCTAGACATAAAACATGCTATTTTACAATAATCTATATTTAACTTATTTTTTCTTGAAAAAGTACATTTTTATATTGGGATTAAGATTCCCTGTCTATTTTGTATTTTGCTGATCTGTTATTGCTTGTCTGACCAGAGCACGCCAAAAAGCAAACAGTACAACGACAATGCCATTATAACGACAATGTCATTAATCCTATTCTTGGGTCTTTCGGTCAAGTCACGTAGATAAAAAAAAATTGATCACGACGTTTCGATCGCAACACAAGCAATCATCTTCAGATGAGAGAGAGAAAGCTGCTGAGACAAAGTCTTATAGAGGCCTGAGATGGGTGCATCAAGGTAGGAGGGTGGAGATGGTTCAACCAACGGAGGCTGGGGCAGTGGACACCCGGCCTGTCAATACAAAGACGTCCAACCTAGAAATGAAACTCAGAGAGTCGGTTGACATCGGTAGAAAGGATGGTAACATCATAGCAAGTTAAGACTTTACCTGGTTAATCACGTCCTTCCAATGATTTCTCAATTTGTACCCATCTTCTCGGTTGAAGTTGTGTCTATGTGTAGTGGAGTAGAAAGGTGCGTATTGCATGGAAACAGAGACAGTGCGGTTCATGTTGGGTCAGCCTGTAACGAAGGCAAATACAGTGCAGGTTATGTTGGGGCAATTAAGCTGGGAGAGCCAAGGACGGCTGTGATTGGTTGGTGCTGTTGCCGGGCCGGAGAGGCGTTGGGAAGTCTGGCGAGAAGCAGGTGTGCGATCACGCGGAGTGCAGTTGGGAGGCGGACTAATTAATTGGGGCGTAATGAGAGTGGGGATAAATTGGGGGGTCGGAAATTGGAGCGGGGAGTTGGAGTTTGGAGGGCTTGGAGTCAACAGGGGGAATTGAAGTGTGAAGAGTTGGAAGACAGAGTTTGAGAGACAGAGTTTGGAAGACAGAGTGGAAGGGAAACGGAGTTGGAGACGGAGCTTGGAGCAAAGACGAAGTAGTTAGCGGTGGAGAGAGCATAGCGATAGCGAAGCTGAACAAAGACGAAGTAGTTAGTGGTGGAGAGAGCGTAGCGATAGCGAAGCTGAACAAAGACGAAGTAGTTAGCGGTGGAGAGAGCGTAGCGATAGCGAAGCTGAACAAAGACGAAGTAGTTTGCGGTGGAGAGAGCGTAGCGATAGCGGAGCTGAAGACGCTGTGTGCGAAGTCGCTGTGTGCGAAGTCGCTATGTGCGAAGTCGCTGTCTGCGAAGACGTGTGCGGAGTTGCTGAGTGCAGAGTTGCTGAGTGCGGAGTCGCTGAGTGCGGAGTCGCTGAGTGCGGAGTCGCTGAGTGCGGAGTCGCTGAGTGCGGAGTCGCTGAGTGCGGAGTCGCTGAGTGCGGAGTCGCTGAGTGCGGAGCAAGCAAAGTAATCGTGGGGAGTGGAGAGACAAAGGTGGCGAGCAAGTCGAGTGAAGCACGGCGAGCGAGCGGTGGCGACCAGGATACTGTGGAATGTGGAGGACATGCTGACAGTTGTAAATAAAGCGGTGTTCGGAGAAAGACAGAAGTTGTCCGAGTGAAATTGAACACTACATATGTTTAGATATGTGGATGGCTTCATGAACAAATCTTTGATGATAGCCAGTCAGTTTGCAGAGTACCTTCGTCTTGGAAAAAACAATTTCGTGTAAGCCCACAGCGTTAAAACAATGATCAGCCACGGCCGAAGTATTGGTCCTGCCGTTTTTCAGATCCGCCTTGTGTTCACGAACACGGTCCAAGACATGTCGTTTAGTTTCCCCAATGTAACTACTGCCGCAGACACAACTTAGTTTGTTGACACCCAGGTATTGCATGTCAGGGATCAAATCCTTCACAGATGGGATCAGATCACGAATTTTACGTACTGTCTAATCGAACCTGGATCTTGTGTTCATGATTTTTTAAATCTTTTTGGTGATCCCTGCTATGTATGGCAAGGTGATGGTTTTGATTGGGTCCTCAGATGTTTTTTTCCCAACGGTTGGGGTGACAGCTTTGCGGATTGTACGGTCCGAATATCCATTCATCTTGAAGGCTTGGTGTACGTGCTCCAGTTCACTAGCTAGGTGGTGCTGGTCAGGTGTAGGGTTTTGATGAGGGAATTCTTCTGGGCTGGATGGTGGTGGGAGTCAGGTTTTAGATAGGCATCCGTGTGGGTGGCTTTCCTGTAGACAGTGTCCCAATGAGCCATCTGGTCTCTTTTCGATTATAACATCCAAGAATGGTAACTTGCCATTCTTTTCCACTTCCATGGTGAATTTGATGGCTGCGTGTATGGAATTTATGTGGTTGAAGAATTGGTTTAGGGCTCGAGGGCCGTGTGGCCAGATGATGAACATGTCATCTTCCACAAGGAAGGACGTAGGGTGGATACCTGGATGGAATCTGTCTCAAATTTTTCCATGAAAACATTGGCTACCACTGGCAATAAGGGAAAATGTACCATTCCAGGTGAAGTAAGTGTTGGTAAGACAGTGTCTCACCAGGGTTGGTACATCAGCATTCAGTCCTTGTTGGACCAAATCTTCAATGATTACAATGGTGTCAGGCACAGGAACTTTGGTGAAAAGAGAGACCACATCGAAGCTAACAAGTCAAATCACCTAGAGATAGTGAGATGTCTTTAATTAAAGAAACCAAATGAGCTGAATTAAGTACAGCTGAGGTGGTCTTGCCAGTGAATGTAAGCAAGGTCTCAGACAGAAATCTGGTCAGTTTGTAGGTGGGTGAGTCAATGGTGGAGACGATAGAATGGATCGGTG